TTGTTTATGGCAAGACTGTTAATCTTCATGTGAGTCTTTCTCGCCATCTTCGTCAGTCGGTGCTACAGTTGTGGAAGATGGTGAGTCTTTCTCAACACCTTCGTCAGTCGGTGCTACAGTTGTAAAAGATGGTGAGTCTTTCTCAACATCTTCGGCAGTCGGTGCTATAGTTGTAACAGATGGTGGGTCCTTTTCACCATCTTCGTCGGTCGGTGCTTTAGTTGTAACAGATGGTGAGTTTTTCTCACCATCTTCGTCAGTCGGCTCTATAGTTGTAACAGATGGTGAGTTTTTCACACCATCTTCGTCAGTCGGTGCCATAGCTGTAACATATGGTGAGTCTTTCTCACCATCTTCATCAGCCGGTGCCATAGTTGTCCGGACGATATTCCACAACACTTTTCCGTCCGCCTTATGTGACGGGGGCATTTGATTTCAACAAGTTGATTGGCCGGTTTCTCGTCCAGTGGCTTCAAGTTTCGTCGATTAAAAGTGGGTCTAGTCTCATGGTCGACTGCGCTGTTCGAATGGCCGTTATTCACAAGCCATCGCTTGTACCGTTCGAGTTAACCAAGAGATTATGATATGAGTTGACCAAGATATTAAATCCGCCTTGAATGAAAAAAACAGAAACCGCCCGACAAGAAACGGACCCATCAAATTTTTTATCGAAATGAAATACCCCGTCATATACGGTGGACGAAAACGTTTTGCAGTGCATCACCCGGACAATATCATGCCCACTGATGAATACATTGGAATAAGACACCATCTACCACAATTGGACAACTAATAGCCGCGGTATGATAAACAGCCTGACAGCAGACAAAAACCAAATAAAACGCACCAATATAGCGCATCCATACGGAGGCTGCCGGCTCCACAACTCGACCTATTCTGGAATGACTACGACGACTCTATTACGGCGCACAACTATGCACCTGCAGGAGGGAGCGCCAAGCCCGCATATGAACAAAACCCACGACAAAAAACTACTACACTCTGACCTCGCTGAAAAGACACTGACCCAATCATGTCCAAACAAACGCTGCTTATAAGTTCTCGAAACCATCCTCATCAGAGAAAGAATATCTGACTTAAACAAACAGCTTAAGTCATGCTTGGACCTGTTCAGTCACCCAATGCCAGCAGGGCGATTCGATGTCTTAAACTTGCCATAATGTTAACCTGGCTGCAAAAGTGATGTGCGTGTGTTTGCATGCGTGCTGTAATTTGACCTGATATTGGAATGGATAATTTGTTAATTGATGGTTCATCCTTGGTTGCATCTCGTGGAGTGTGCCCCTATCTCACCACATTCGAATATTTGCCGCCCAATTCTTTCATTGCTTTGAGATTGGGCAACGAATGTCATTAAAACGCCGGCTAGCTTAAACTGATGCAAATGACCAAAGGTAAACTGATTTATGACTGATGGAAAACCAAAAAGGATGCAATGCGAGCAACCGAGCAAGCGCACCAGAAACTGATTAAATGTTTATTCGCGTTTGTATATTACAAAGCTTGCATTAATGACAGCAGACCGGCTAAGCACACGAATACATATTGAGACGATATCATACTCGGGGTCAGTTGAAGTCAGCTCAAGCTGGGCAGGTGTGAGGATGGCCATTTTTGATTATTTGTTTCTAGTCAAAATCCATAGAGCCCATGTTGATTTCCCAAAAAGTCGGAAGCCAACCCGCCTGGACCTCTTACTTCCCGCGTCCTTGATTGCACTTCATTTGTCATACTCTGCATGCTAAACAAAAAGCTGTGGGGGACCTTGACTTCCTTCCTACAACATGGACTGGTTTCAGGTCGTGAAGGAGGCGATACAAGTTGTCCATTCTCCCTGCAGCCAAGCCACAAGCCAAGAAGGGAAAGTCCCATCCGTGCCCACCGCCGCCGCCTCTCGTCACTCGGGTTCCGACTCCGCCGCTGCTCTCCCACCTCCAAGATTCTACAATTTTGCTGCCCCCTCCGCATCAATAAAAAATAAAGTCTCCTCCGTGCCCACCGCCGCCGCCTCTCGTCACTCGGGTTCCGACTCCGCCGCTGCTCTCTCCCCCTCCGAGATCTTACCCTATCGCTGCCCGCTCCACGTCAGTCACCGCCGCCACGCCCTCAGGATCCGCCGCAGCTACCAACTTCTCGTGCTCCACCGCCGTTGCGGGCCCGTCCAACTCCACGGCAACCACTGAGTTCTCCGGCTCGACCTCAGTCAAAGGCGTTAACCCCTCGGGGTCCTCAGCCGTCCGCCCCTCTTCTGATCCGGTCGGAGTGCTGATCGTGAGGAGCGCCTGCATGCGCCGCCGGTGCTGCCACCTGTGGCACCTGAAGCGGGGCTTTTGCATCTGCCTGCGCGTCGGCCGACGCTGCTTCGATTTCCAGCAGCCTGTGCAGAGAGTCGACAGAAATTTCACCATAGCGCGCACCCTGCCGTTCAGATGCCCTATCTGCTATCGCCCGTGTGGTAACGAGGAGTGCTGCCGAAAGCTGGGGTGTCGGTGATCACCAAGCTGATCATCATCATGAATATGATGATGCGGAAGGCGCCGCGTTTCATGCTCAGACGGCGAATCGGAGGCGCCGCGCCTTCCTTTACCACCTGCCGTCTGGACCGACCACACAGAAAGGTGGGCTACGTTCCAAGATGGATTGCATGGGGTTGGCTTGGTGGTCCAAGCGGAGCGTCAAGTTTCGTCGCGCTGATGGGTAGCACGTGTGGTAGACAGTTTGTCACCCTTGCTTCTGTTTGCGAAAGGACCCAAGTGCGCATTGCGATCAGAAGTATCAATATTACGCTTTCAATCAGACGCACGTTTGGAACTAAAGAACCTTGAAATGAAACAGCTTTGAATGAACATTTGAATCATTTCGTGCAAAATGGTGACGGTGGATGCACACGTGATTTGATGAGATTTTTCGCCGATATATTGTCAGGGTGCGACTCACGTCTGGCCGCCTATCATGCGTCAGGTGAGAACACCAGCAGAAATAAGCATCACGGACAAATAGTTGTATTGCGACTAGGGCCATGCTGAAAAGGGAGACAATGGACAACACATACACGACTTCTCGGCAGTGACGAAGGTCGAAAGCTCCGACGGAGGCAGCAAACCCGTCCGGCGTCTCTTAATAAAATGACGCAACTGGTCTGAGACCCAACCCTCGAGCGAGTCGGCAGCACAACCAGCCGATGCGACGCTTGTATCGAGCGACGCTGGCCACCAGATCAGATCGACGATCAGTCAATGAACTGTCGATGAGCAGCTCGCTTACTCCTCCAATCAGACCACGGGGGCAAGCGGTGCGTGTCCGGTCATCTGGGGGCCCGGTCATGACGTCATCACGCTGTCAGCTGATCGGCGCGCAGGACCCGTTAGCAGGCAGATGGCCGGCTCGCGGGGGTCGATGCCTCGCAGGAGTCGGTCCAAAGATTGAACGAATAAACCTGGGCAGTCGCAAAAGCGGTGCACTAGGTGGAAAAGGCAGATGTTTACAAAATGGGAGAATCCGCTTCTGAGCGTACCATCTACCCGATCTGCCTGTGCGCCTGGGCTACTAATGTCGCGTCACGAGCAGAATAGAGCTCTCACACAACGGATAAGTAGAAAGGCATTCGGTAAATAAAAGCGGATATCAGAGGTCTCCACATCACACAATCAAGAATCAAACAACACAACGGCATCAGCTACAAAAGCAATGGTCTTTGTTCCGTCGAACCGGATTCAAAGCAAGATTTGAACTATCACTGCTACGAACGCCATCTCTTGCTCTTATGTTCATATTGATACATCCATGTGTCCATACCAATCGATAGTATCCTGCACACATTCCAGGGTACACTGTATTAATACAAACAACAAGACATAATGCCTGAAGTTATGATACTTTAATTGTTTGTGCTCCAGTCATCGCACAAATTTGATACGTCATCCCATTCAGCAATACAGGCTATGAAGTGAAGGCACACAGCCTTCTGCAGGTCCGGGAAGTGACAGTATTCACATCAACACGCACTTGAATGCCGAACGACATGTGTCGCTTCTGCCACAGCGACGTTCGCTGACGATATCATACCATGTAACGGACGTAAAAAACTTGCCTGGGAAAAATGAGCGATCAGGAGCAGGGATGCCACTCATATGAGAATTTAATGGCAGAGAAGAGGCTAGAACAGGTGATAGATTAAGTGTTACCCGGAAGTTCATTCTGTAAAAACCCATCTCTCTGGCAGCCCCTGACGCTTCCATACATATTTCGTTAGTACGCTACCTAGACCTAGGTGGCAACTAATGATCAGTCAACAGACAAAGAGAGCTAGCTATTTTTGGATGCAATGCGAAGGGAGATCAAACAGATATGGGCTCAGAGGTTGGGATGGCAAGTTAAGATCTTTTGCCACCAAACAAAGCAAAATATACTGCTGATAGAGGTCGGATAACGCAAGTACGTCACAAAAACACGCTATATTGTCAAGCTGTTAAAAGTGGCGTTCATGGTCTCGACTAGTGACAATTGTTTTTACACCAACACACGTGGCACATCAGTAAAAAAGCAACCAGCCGATCCAACTTACAATTATCACGCCCACGTTTTAGCCGAATTTTACAAGCTAAACACTGCACGAACGTCCCAAATGACGCAGAAGCACACCTACGGACATTACCAGACAACCTTCGAGATCTAGCCACGAGTTCAAACAATCCAAAGTCTTCGGGTGGGACGCTCGGAGTCTGGGACCCCGCTGGGACGAGGCGGGGCGCGCGGGGGCATCGGTACGTCCTCGGGTCACCAGCACGCCTCCAGCACGCCTCCGGTCCGTCAGCACGCCTCTGGTCCGTCAGCACGCCTCAGGTCTACCAACACGCCTCCGGTCCGCCAGGCACGCCTCCGGTCCGTCAGCACACCTCCGGTCGACCAGCACGCCTCCTATCCACCAGCACGCCTTCGAGACGCAGGGACACAGGCGCCGGCGCGGCAGGCAGGTCAGGTCAGTAGTCGTACGTGAGCAGAGGGCTGGCCGGCTCGCCGGGTGGCTCCGGGGCGCGGTGCTTCTTCGACGATCGCTTCTGCAAGGCAAAGACGAAAGGTTAACCGGTGCCGTGGTGATGAAGATGGTGCACATTAGGTTTGTGGAATATCATAATTTTAGAAGAAGTTGCAACCAACGCACCCTTACCCCCCCCCCCCCCCCCCCCCCCATGTGCCGACGGTGTCAGCGCCAAGCAATGCATGTTTTAAGAGAAATTTTGAGATGTATTTCGATTTTGAGTGATGTTTTTTGTCTTGACATTTGTTGAATGATTGTGTGGGTCATTTTGAGTGACCTTAGTGGCGACTATAAAACTGCAGTGCGTTAGAATTAAACTCCAGTTGCATGAGGATTGGTTTGTGTTTTGAAAATATTTGGGCTAAAATGCATATTGTTCCCTATCATTTAGCATGTTTAGACGGGAACCAGCTAGTTATGTTATCAAGGGCACCGTGATCGCTTCTGAAAATACGATTTCGAATGAAGTTATGGTTCAGCAGTTAATGAAAAGATGATCTCTGTGAAAAGATGATCTTTCGGAAATGATATGGAACTAAGCCAATACGACAACGAATAATACAAGAAGCCATGCGCTTTTGGACTCACAGATCTCAATTAGATGCGACTGAGACGCAATCTTTCAGTTCGTTCCATTTTGACGACATAATTTATTGACGTTAAGTAACTGCCAGTCACGTGACATACAGTAACGTCCGGTCATCTGGAAGTAACGCAATTCACGCCCCAAAAGTGATGGCCGTGACGTGTGCCAGTGCCATCAGCGTAAAATCCTTATTTTTCCATTTCTCTAAAAATCAGCTTTGAAGCCTTATTTTGCCTTCGATATATTCAAAAGAGTAAAGCATAGAGAAACTCGCTTCAGTTTTTGAAGGCGAAGTTCGGCAAATGCCCTCCAGGCTAACGTTTTTAGCCGCTGCTGTGAGTGCGGCGCACGTCCGATAGTTCGGTGGATACACACCGCGGCGGCCCGGCCCGGCGAGCCGGGTAGGGCTGATACCTTGGTGAATACGCACCGCCATGGTCATGACTTGATCCGCAGGGGCCGCGGGCGGTGTTGACGGCACGTGCGGCGGGCAGATGCGGGGAGGGATGATTCGTGGATATCACAAAACTAGGAATGTGTTGTCAGAAGGCAAAGCCAGGAAAGAGGATGGCTCAAATATGACACCGTGTCTGGCCCAAAGGCTTCCCCAAACGACTGAACTCCTGCGAGTTTGAGCTGGATCAAAGATATCACTCAGCAGAAATGCGGCAAATTGCAAGAAGCCTTGCCGTTACGTAAGATCACGCGTCAGTATAGCCTCTGTCCAGTTCAGCCGAAACAGCGTAGCGTGCTGGTACGGAGACTCCCGTTCATTCCCGCCCGCTCCGGCACACATTTTTCCATCGTGGCAAACTTTGCTGTGATTGGAAGCCACGGCTTTAACAATCATCGTTAAAAACGTCATAATTTTTACACCGAAAGTACCTCACGGGTGAACATAATCCCCTGACACGAGAGGTGTTATTGCAGGCAACGCTGGTGGACTGGCTTCAGAGTTCACAACCGACCCTGCAACCGTCAGCTGCTGTAGACCAGGGGCACCACTTTGAAGCCCGCGGACTCGCAGAGCGCGGGTAAAAATAGTTTAAAAGTGGTATCTGGAGTCTGCATCAGCTGAAGAGCGCGAAATCCGCGACGGATTCTGCATCGAGCCTGGAGGGTGTGAAGGGGACCAGCCCAGACGGCAGCCCAGGCTACCGCCCAGACGTTTTGTAGTCTGAATAGTCAGGCCCGACCTGGCGTTCAGCGTCGTTGTCTTCATTATATCTTGTCACTCACCGGTCACATCGTCATGAATTTGTCATTAACAAGTAGCGCAATTTTTTAAACGTACGACATAGCCTTAAACCACATAAAGTAAAACCGTTAAACCAGGCAGCGGACTCCTGCAACGTCGCAGGCTAGGCACTATTTCACATGACCGTTCAACTAAGACAGGAAACAGAAAATTTTCCATCCACGAAAATGCTGAAGGACCAAGGTCAAACTCGGGATCGGTATCCAGTGACACGACGTCGCAGCCAGACGAGGTCAACATGTTCTGGCGGAAGGCAAAACGGGCGAGCGCGTAGACAAATGCTGTCGATTTGTGCACACGGTCACGCGCCCACGTGCACACATCTCGGATCCGCCCGATTTCAGGCGTTAGTTAGGACTGAAGTAAGGCCTCAGGGACCAGAGCGAAGGAAGACGTGGAACAGACAGCACGGTGCGGACGAACATACTGGCCACAGCTCGCTAACAGGTCTCACATCTGTCCCGCCTACCTGTTCGTCAGTAACCGGCCGCAAACAGAGCAACGCCCTCATTTTTCGAATATATGCATATATATATATATATATATATATATATATATATATATATATATATATATTTATACTCGAGTCCATTTCTCGGATATAGGACGCTGCACAGAACGCCGGCATGGCAAACCATGTCCGACGCATGGCCCTATACCTAACTGAATCCCACCCACATGGTCAGCGAGCAGCCCCCAGTGACCGCACGATACGTCAACATGGCCACTTCTTTTGACCGCTGCCGGTATTTGTGCCTGTTCATCGACCGCAAACCGATATTAAGCCATTTGGAGAGGCTAGGAAATCGACACTATGACGGCTCCCGATCATGAAGTTGCTGACTTGCAGCGACAGGCCTACTTGCGTTTCGTTGTGCGACAATTCTATTTGCTTAGAACAGCTAAGCGAAAACCCCTGGCCATGAGCCGTGCTTCCACTTGAGGGAGACTGGCTCCTGAAGCGTCACCTCAGTCACGCTTGATTTAAATCTTAATGGTGAATTAGAATCTTCTGAAAACCTCATAAAGTGATTTCCACAAAGACGCCATAGATTAGTGTAAAAGAATATGCGATTTGCCGGCGATTTGTCCAAGGAGGCATGTCCAAGACATTTGACGTTTCAGGCGTGTTACTCAGCGGTGAAGTCGCCAAAGACGGATACCTCAATAAAACTGTCAAAAAATAGCAAAATAGTAAAGCCAGGACACATGGCTAGCAGGTATGGGCGTGCTGCACGGCAGTGAAATTAGCTGGCAGCGAAAGCAAACCCTGTGCAAACTTAACTACGACTTGGCGCCCCCTGATTGCGAAACCATAACCAAGACCTAGTTGGTCAGCTTTTAGCGTGTTATGCAGTTAGTTCGTTATGTCTTTGAAGGCTCCACAGCTTCAAGTTTATTCGGCCCCAGGAAGGGGGTCGGATTCAGATGTTCTGCCAACGAAAATAGCTAAAACAACAACAAACAAACTACAGAGATCCGAAGTCATTCCCACGTGCTTTCGCTGGTGAAGAAACGCTGCAAAAAAAAAATTCGGTCGGCCTCTGAAGGAATTTTACGAAGCTCTGCTGCCAACGTTGCAAGTTCCTCTCTGCAAGGGTTATCGAATTCAAGCATCGCACCTTGTGTTTCTTCTTCTTCTTCTCGCCTTCCACGACTTCGCCAACGTACTCTGAAACAAACCACAACGTGTGAATTTCAGCCAATGCAAAACTCTTATCGTGGACGGGGAAAACAGCTTGACAACAATTAAATTCTTCAATCTATCGATATAACCATTGGAAAGATCATGGTGCTGAATCAGCCTTGGTAGTCTATTTTGCCGCACGTGCACTGTGCGGCACGCACGTACGTGTACAGGATATACTACGGGCGTCCACATGTCCTTGTGTTCATTCAACCAAGCGTATGAATTTGATCAAATGTTCGAACAGCCGGAGCGTAGCTACCATTGGTCGCCCTTCGGTTAATCAAGTAAGTACAGGTCATCGACGCCGGCACGTCAACGAGTATTCAAAGACGCATGGATGACAGAAGCGGTCGCATCCATCGACCAAGACGCGACCAACGCGGGCCATCAAAATCCCTGACGCTCCCGGCGAAGCCCACCTGGCTCAGGGTGAATGAATTCGTCCTGGCCGAGAAAGTTGACCTTCTTCTTGTGCTTGGACTTGCGATGCGGCGTCTTGGGCGGCGCGTCGCTGTCGTCGAGCAGGGACCAGCGGCGCGGCACCCTGTCGCTGGCGTCCAGGTCGCCGGCCGTCCGGCCGCGCCAGCTCGAGGTCAGGCCGTCCGCCTCCGACTGGCGCCGCCCGGGAGGCGGGCTGACTCGGCCGCCGTCCCCGCCATCCAGGGGGGAGGGGCGGCGGAGGCGCGGCAGGGGTGCCCGCGACGCCGGCAGGTCCAGCCGGTGCGGGTTCTTCTCGCAGCGCAGCTGAAGCACGCCCGGGTGATGAACGGAAGTGCGGAGGAGCGAAACCGGCTCGATTTTGAGCTTGGAGCTGCAAGCCCAAGCCGACAAGACCATGACGCTTGAACAGCAGCCGTTGAGGGACCTAAAGCGATCGCTCAACCGAGACTTGGCCTAGTCGCGGTCCTGGCACTTGGCAACAGGCCCATTGAGCGCGAACACATCGACCGTTTATCAGAGTTTTGCCCTCCCGCGAGCACTCGAGTTTGTTTATCTTGGGAGCTTTGTGATGAAACAAACATCCCCTTACGGCGGCAATCATTTTGAGCTCTCATGCGATTAATCTTCTTGAATAAAAACCTGGTCGACGCAACGCAGTAAGCTTTCATTCATCTCGCTTGGATTGTGAGTCATGCCGCAGCGAAGAAGGCAGAATCGAACAGGGGGTTGAGGAAAGTTTGAACGGTGTTGACAATATCAGCTCAGACGTCTCGCACCGTTGCCCAAGTTCCCTCGACGTCTCTTGGAGACGCGACGGCCTCGGCTGTAGGTCTGCGCTATATTTAACAATTTTGTTTGGGCAAAGGCGTCACGTCATCGGCCCGTTTTAGCTTGGCTGCCGGCCGGGCGTTTCCGTTCCCAGCGGAGCGAATTGAGTGCCAGTCTCTCACCGAGACGTGAAACTCGCTTGGAGCCAGAAGCCATATGCGCATGAGTTGGGAAATTGCTGTGGTTAGACCAACAGCTATTCCGTGCTGAGATTCAGTGGCGTTAGCGTGGCCCGAGACAATTTATCGTCACTGCTATTCCGTAACGAAACTATATATGTATGGCTTATATATAAGGCAGGTACGAACAGAAACATAAACAACGGTAACAAGTTCGCTGGAAACAACTTTTCAGAGAGGAATGCAGCTGACGCTGGTGACGCGTATGGACCGCCGAGCGGTTCTTGCCAGTTAACGACATCGCGGGCTGAGGCGGGGACCGCGCTGTGTGATGAACGAGCCGGTGCGCGGCCACAGCCAGCCAGCGCGTTCTATGTCCCAGGCCGCTTCGGGCCGCCCAGCCACACAAACCAGCTTCTTCATGTCTCCGCCACAACCTCTGACCCTCCGGTGGGCGTCCAATTAACTCCTTCTCTGTCCCCCGCCGCTGAACTGCGCGTAACTCTGACCCCGTGGCAAACCTGACCTTTTCATCCTGACCTGTCTAGCGACTTCTCCTTTGATTTCTTCATACTGACCTTTCGGTCACTGATCTTTCCTTTCCATGACCTCCCTCACCACGCAACGTTACCCTCCATGATAACCCCTAACATATCTGCTCCTCGGCCAAACGCATTCTGACATCCTGACATCCTGACTCCTGACCTTCACCCGAGCGCACACTAACCACCCTGACCTTCCAATGCCGACCCCTGACCTTGAGTTGAGCGCCACGCTGACCACGACCTGCCTTATTTTTACCGCCCCGTCCCCACTACGTCAACTCCAGGTTCTCCTCACGCCAACCCTGAGCTCGTTGCGATCTAACCTGGTGTCGTAGCAGGTCGGCGTCCAGGAAGGCGCTCTCGCAGAACTCGCAGGGCAGCGTGACGGCGTCGTCGTCTGGCGGCCGGTCGGCCTCCACCGGCCGGGCCACCCAGCGCGGCGGCGACGGGCTGCGGAGGCCCTCAGCTGACGGGCGGCGCAGCGCCGACTTGGCCGGCGCCGCCGGCAGCCGGCCCTCCGGCCAGCAACCCCGCCGCTCGTCGCTGCACGAGTCCTGCGCCGGACACGTGCGGGGTCAAACAGTGGGAGGTGGCGACGGAGAACGGGTGTCGATTGTCTAACAGAGGCATCCGACGATGTTGGCAGAGTTTCTAGAGTTCACAGAACGAATCCGCAATTTACCAACAAGGCATGATGGCTTTCTGAGGATACACCAGACTGTATTATGTGAGGTTTTCATAGCTTATGATTCGGTGTGGTTGCAAACATGTTTGGGCTAATCACTGTCGCCACTTGATCGAGCAGATGGCGCATAAGCTGTCCCCTTTCAGCCGCGGGCTGAGATGCGAGCTTTTTACCGTTCCGATCTGGCACAATCTGGCCTCAGCTGCCCAATCTCGTTCGGACGTTTGGCCCGAGTTCAAGGTCTCTTCGTGTGGCGCGATTATGTACCGCCACCGCGCACCGATACAACGGCGCGAGACGACGCACTTCGCATGCAATCAGCCGTGCTCGACGGCGACGGCGCGTGGGTGAAGCATGACCGCCGGAGCCGGAGCTGGTCACGGTTAGCCCGCTGTGACTGACCTGGTGGCGCATGACCTCGAGAGTCCCGGTTGACCCGCCGCGACTGGCCTGGTGACGCATGGCCTCGAGAGTCACAGGTGACCCGCCGCTACTGACCTGGTGACGCGTGGCCTCGAGAGTCCCGGGTGACCCGCCGCGGCTGGCCTGGTAGCGCGTGACCTCCAAAGTCACGGTTGACCTGCTGCGACTGACCTGGTGCCGCGTGACCTCCTCCGCCGGGAATCGGCGTCCGCAGCGCCGGCAAGGCACGGGCTTGCCTGGCTCGTCCTCCGCCGAGGCCTTGGATAGCTCAATGGCCATCAGCATGGCTTGCTCGAAGCAATCATCTGTAACGTGACGTCACGTCGTCATGACGTCATGTCGAGAGCTGGACGGGCGGACGGAACTGGACGGTTCCACGGACGGATTTTTGAACCGCACGCACCTGACTATATCGTGGGCAGCGACGAGGGTACATTGCGAAGCGGTACATTGCCGGGCAATATGAGAAGCGAGGTAAGAGGGTTCGAGAAGAGGGCATCCCTTTTGGAACCAGGTCGCTTTTCAGCGCTCGAGCGGGCTGGGTGCTCCACCACGGACAGCTCTACGTGCAGTGGGCGGTCCAAATCAGGGCCAATGGACACGATCACACCCGTCGAACAGTTGGAAGTTATGTTGCGGTACGTCAGTCAGTATTCAAGTCATTAAATAATGATACATGGATTACATAAGTATTAAGTAATGCTACCCGTGGTATCAGCATACAAATTCAAACAAATAATACAATAGTTACGGCATCCATGGGAGCCATCGGCATGTCAGATATGTAGTAAGCGGACAGCAGGCGCGTGTTTTTGCCGTTTGGGCATAGCTTCGGTGTGATGAAAAGTACTGTCTAGATTATTGATTCAGGGCAGTCCACTTTCCATGTCATGGCACTAGTCCTGACAAAAACTTGTCACTGGTCCGCTATCCCGACCAGTTGAGCGTGCCCAGCAGTTGGTCGATCGGGAGCAGGTGTGGAGCTTGACAGCAACCGACGGAAGTATGGGAAAGTGACAACTGCAGTTTATCGTTTGCCCGAGTTACGCTTATACGACACTGTTCATAACTGGAGTTTGCGAGTCACGGAGATCCTCAACCAACATACTAAAGGAATTGTGTCGTCAGCATCGTAAAGTCTTAGCATTGGGCGCCTGGTACTCCTCCATTAAGACCATGGAGTAACAGGCAATGTGCATGGGCTCGAAATTACAGATGGCACTGCACTGTCAGATCCAGGGAAAGGCAGGAGGGCGCTCCAAAGGTGTTTGGATGACTCAGTGGGTTCTCAATGCAAATGCAGCCAACCCGGTTGATGCGGCCTCATAGATGGTGAGCGCTGCGACCTAGATCCCAGCATGCAATCACAGCAACCAAGGGCGAATAGATCAAAGAGCTCCGACAGCCAACATTAGCGTGCGCACGTTTTATTCGTGCGTGCAGTGCAGGCGCAGGCGCGCGAGCGCAGTGAGGGTGCAGGCGCGGGCGTCCATACAGGGAGGGTGTGGGTGCGGGCGTGCATGCAGGGAGGGTTGACTGTAGTGACTGAAATGAGCCAAGGCTACATGGACCGACGTTAAACTGTTCTTCACACACAAGCTCGATCCAGCCGGGCATTCTGCAGAAATGTGGTTCGGTTATGCAGCAGCTTTAATCGGGCATTACCAACGGATTCGAGGCCAGAACGCAATGCGACAAACATATTGACGTGTCGCGATGTTTTTTAACGCTACTTTATCCCTGCATGGTATATATTTTTCCAGCAGTTTCACTTTTTTGACATGGAGAAATCAGCCGTCATAGGCTATGTAATATTTTTTGCGCAAACTCATCTCATGGTTCGTCGAAAGTCAAGTACGCCTTCTTATGTTTCGGTTGTTCGTTTTTTTGCCGATTGTCAAGACACTGCAAAGTGACGTTGAAATTACTGGCGTCGTTTGCTATAATCTTAGCATTCCTCAGTGTCCCACAAACACCTGAGTGCCACATGAACACGTTCCGAGTTCTATGTCAGAACGCATTCGGAAAGAAGCTGACGAGGGCAGCGCTACAATTGGCGAGCTCCCACCGAGCAAAGCACAATGCATCAGTGCGTAGAAGGCACGGAAAGTCGCTGACCCTCGAATTTCCTGAGCTCTTTCCGCTTTCTCCAGCTTTCCATCGTATCTTCTACTATTTCATCGACGGGCTTTCTGACGTATGAAGCGATTTTGTCGTCGAGTGAGACGTGATCTCCGAAGGACTTGCCGGGCGTCGTCTCCTGGCGCAGACTCGCTCGCCGAGTGCCGGCCCACTTGTCACCCCCGGCTGCAAGCCATGCAACACCGCATCAACTTTGCAACACTCCCAGCCCGACCACCCCCTCCCCGCCCCGCCCCGCGAAGCTGATCAACTTCACACACTTCCACAAACAGAGCGCAGAAGACCAGGCGTCTAGCGCACCCGACCTAGCGCATAACTGGCGGAAGCGTTACACCAAACGGAGCGCGCCGCCGCGGCGGGCGGCGCGCGCGGCCGTACCTTTGGGCGGAGTGCGCGGCCGCTCAGGTCGGGTCAGCGTGTGACCCGACTGCACGTGCAGCGGCCAGTGTTTGTACATGACGCGCGCGTCGCAGGTGGGGCAGGGTTCGGTGCGCGCGCCACAGTAGCTCTCGTGCTCCTCCAGCGACGAGAACGGCATGCTCAGCTCGCAGTAGGGACAGGTGACGGCCCGGCCTGAGCACGACTCCTCCTGTCGCAGACGACAGAAGCCGGGTCACAACCGTCAGATCACCAAAGGTCACCATAAGTCATCATAGGTTATCAGAATTACCATAGGTCACCAGCCACCAGCAGCGCACGACACGTTACCCTCCTTCGCCGTACACGCAGACGACCGATGCTGATATGTTCCCTTGTGGGTGGTACGACCATGACGCATGGAAAAGTAGGATGCGAAATGAAAACGTTGGTTTCGGTATTCTTGGTTTTTGGTCGGTTTCGCGGATACATTCTGCGCTACCCACTCACTGCGTAGCGTAGCTTTCGAACCCCGAACCCAGCGACGACAAAGGCTATCATCTTCGTTGCCACAACTCGCACCAGCATCCGCACAGCACCATAACGTGCATCCCCGTTCCCCTCGGCAGCGGCTGACGCCTCCCGACCCACCTGATGCACGTCCATCAGCCCGGAGAACACCTGCTGGCCGCAGAGGCGGCAGTCGACGCGGCGGTGCTCGCTGGCGCGGTGCTCGTCCATGCGGGCGCGCGGCACCGTCTCGCCGCACTCGGGGCAGACGCCGAGGTGGCGCCGGCAGTGGCTGACGTGCACGGTGTGGTTGGCAGCGCCGATCTCGCGGCCGCTGCAACGGCGCGGCACGTCAGCCGAGCCTGCGCAGCCGGCGGCCGAGCCTGCGCAGCCGGCGCGCGCTGCCAAAGACGCCTGCCCACGGGCCGCCGCTGCGCCGGTTTTGCGTCGCGTCCGCGGAATTGCTAGCGGGCGGGAGGCTCGGCTGACGCTCGGGAGGCTCGGCGGGGTGGTGAACGAGCGCTGTAAATCGGCATGTGTTGTGGACAAAGAGGTCCCCAGAAGGACCTCATGGCCGGCACGCTCCGACGGAGGCGGGGGTCGGCACGGGGTGGCGGCCCCGGCCTCGCGCTGCAAAGGGTGACAACGGGTGACAAAGGACGTGGCCTACGCGGCTGGACGAGGCCCAACATAAAGTCGCACGGCGTCGAAATTAGGGCCTGGCCTCTGCTGCTGGGTTAACGATCGCACAGTTCGGAGGCGATGCGGCGCGGATGTTGCTCGTTTGGCTGAGACAGAGGACGGCCAGGCGGGCTGAGAGAGAGAGAGAGGGTCATCTGTGAGGAACGATGCTCAGTATGTGGGGCATTTGTATGGGCGGTGGATACCGTCTCGCCCGGTAATGTGATGCCACAGACGGTGGATATCGACGAAATATTGACTGCTGGTGCCGCCGAACATTCGGTTTTAGACGATGATTCATGGCGGTCTGCACCCAGCGTAGGTAACCGAGTCAGCAAGGTATGATTCAACATCAGTTGATCATGGAACAAGCCACGAGCATTTCAGAGCACCTACAGCGTCAACAGGCTATTGGCGTCTTGGCCAACACAGGCATTCGCCTTCACTTTCTGCCAGGGTGCCTATCACGGTCGCTGAGAAGACCATGACATGACCCGGCCTGACCCAGAAACGCCAGCTGGAGATGGACGACCCCAGGTCGGCAGTGGCCGCGTCCGGGCCCCGTCGGACCTTGACGGTTGGATGGGGTGAGGGGCGCGTCTCCGACCCAGACGACCTGCTCCACTCGGCTGACGGGCGGCCCCCTCCCCCGCCCCCTCCGCCATCGCCCCGGGCGCTGCGCCAGCGAGTCAGCTGTTCGGGTGGCTGTGGCTTAGGGCGTGACCGGCGGCGGCTGTGGCTTGGGACCGCAACCAACAGGACATCTCTCCCTGCGGTTCTCACGCACAGCCTGTCAGCTGGGGCACTCCGGGACCTCGCGACGACGTCACGGCCTGCGCAGCGCCTCTGTTCGGGGTCAGTGCGATGACGCGTGCTGAGGCCAAGGCGAAATAGTCGCCCTCGGACAGACGACAATCCTCGGGTGACGCCGTTGGCAGGGCACGCAATGACGCACCGGCCACAGTGCTGACCACGAGCGCGTTACGGCCGCGCCGACTTCTCACTGGCGCCCTGGCTTAGGCATAGTGCTCGCCGATGACAACGCAAAGGATGACCTCATGCTCTTGTTCAGCGCCAACGTCATTTGCTAGTATGCGGGTGAGGGAAAGTGTGCTACTTTCTCATTACACATTTCAATTAGTAAATATTCCATTGATAGCCCACACTTGAGTGAGCGCAGCACGGCTGTCATCTTATATCAGACCAGGCGATGTTTTGAAGTCATCCACAATTTCAAACGTTCGAGTGATCAGTATCGCGAATCCCCATCCTGCAGCGGCGCATCTCCGGCCGCTTTTCCCGCCGTGTAGCGGCCGTCTGCGAGACCTCAGAGTCAACACTGGCGCCACCTGTTCCTGCTAGCAACAGTGGCCAGAGGAGCGCACCTGGCGGCAGGCGGCTCGGATCTCACCGCGATGCGATCAAGTCCGCCACTGCCGATACGGCGGCCGGGCAGTGCCCCTGGGAGGGCGTGGCTCGCCACCACGGGCGGGCAGCGCCCGGGAGGCTTGGGAGGGCGTGGCTCTCCACGCGGCGGCGTAAGCTCAGTTGGCAGCGGCCCGGCCCGGCCCGGCAGCGACGAGACTGCACCGACCGATGCCCCGCGGCTGCGGACGGTATTTTCGGCCCGTCGCCGCCGCCGCCGTCGCCATTCAGCGCTTCTGCCGGGCGAAATTGCCGACCTCTATCGGCAGCCTGAGCGCCGCCGAACGGGATCAGCAGCGCGCGGCGTCAGCGGGCCGCGTCCGGACTGAGTGCGGCCCGTTCGCCGGAGCGTGCTGGCGAGCGAGCCGCGGTCGGGTATGGTGGGCTGCGATGGCCGGAGTACCGGGCGTGGGAGTGAGCGGCTGGGCCGGGACCGGTGAGACAGGTCAGAGGGCAGACAGGGCCGGCGGGCCGGGTTTTTCGGGTCTGTGGCGGGTGTTACAGGCGCGGGCGGACCAGGTCCCCGGCACCGCCCAAGTCTGGTGACCGCACCACAGTTACGCCACTACGTGACCTGATGTCGTCGGTCAAAAAGTCGCTCTGGTCAGGGAAGGTCAAAGTCCGCTGCGAGCCACAGCGGCTGATGTAAGCGGCACATGTGTTAAACAATCGAATCATCAGACTCCTGTACTCGCGAAATTCCCGCTGACTTGTCAGGACATCCCGAAAACGTTGTCATTCAGGCTACATTAAAGTATTCAAGGAATCGCGAGGAAAACAGGGAAAAGGGAGAAATGACAAGTTACCTAACACTTACAACTCCCACCATCGGTTGCACTGTTCACAACAAAGATTTACTGCACAAGTAACGAGCGGTTTTCTCGGCCCTCCTGCGCTCAACGACTTACGCTTGCGTCCGCAGCAAACTTTCTGCTGGATATTAAAGTCTATCCTGAACTGGACAGATCCTGCTGTGCTTGTGATGGATAATGGCTGTTTAGATGGCTTAGTCCAGTGCTGGAGCTAGCCGGGCTTGCGTCGTGTCCAGCAATGCCATGACCATTAATATATGCGAGAAGATGTGTTCATTTAATGTGAGGAGCTACATTGAACACTACCATGTCAGAAAAATATGGCATCATAAGAGCACTCAAGCCGTCGCAAACAGTGAAGACTTGGTCTTTTTGGGAGCAGCGACCTTGGTAGTGAGGAGATAGCGATTGCGCAAACGCTATGGTGCTGCATGTGCCCGCGATGCTCGTATTGCGAACTAAGGTACGCCAGCAAGTTCTGGCCACTATTGAAGGCTTTGGTGTATGCACATGGCTGGAAGGCGGGAAACGAATGAAAACTCCGAAAAAAAATCGCAGGAAAGCTGATAAAGTTTGCGAGTACGATTGTGCCTAAGACTGGGTGGCAAACGGGCAGGCATGCTCCTGCTGTTTGGCTGGCACAGACCACATAAGTCTACTATAGCTCCGATGATAATAGCGTAGACAGCGCTGTACCGGGGAACATGGCACTCATAATCTATGCCTGAAATGTCAGCATACAATCAACATAAAATGGCATCGCAATTGACACACCTGTCATTTGGGTGTAAATGTTTTATCGCAGACAGTTATGCATGGATAAAAAAGCACAATATCCGCTTCTTTTCGAAGACACATGTTAGTTTCATCGCAACGGTAATGCCAGAATAGATGTATCAACAAATTGACAAAGTCGTAAGAATTTGTAAATGAAGAATTAGTTTTCCATATCCCGACACATCCACCGGGAAGATGTGAAACGACATGAGATCCCCACCAAACATGAGCCAGCTAACGATCACACGCACAAACGGGCACAACTGGCTTTTCTAACCGGATGTTGTTTGGCGCACCTTCCTCACTGGAAGGGGCGCCAATTGCTGAGGGAAGGTGAACGATTGCCGACGGCAGGCACGCGCAAAGAGACGGAACCAGTGCAGCGGAGCACGACTAATGGGACCGGCGGTGAGCGCGGCGGGCGACTCTGGCTCCGCGTGCCGCTCATTGGCCGCCGGCCATCTTCCGAGCTGGCACACGCACAACGCCCCCGCGTCGCCGAGCCAGCGTGTCAACCAGGCTTTGTGCTCAGGCCTGTCGAAGTCAGCGGCTGGCGTCGGCGTCAGCAGCTGACTTCCTGCTGATACCCTGGACTTAGGCTGATGCTTCATGCCAGCTGTTAAGGCCTCTCCAATAGGAAACCCACAAAACATTTCGAGGTGCAAGCTGCCAGCCAGATAGAGGACAAACGACCCCGACATAAGATCTGTCTGAGCATGATGGATAGGACAAGCATTTTGCCGTGTCTTCTGAGATTACGTATCCTGGACGTTTTTGCCGCCAGAGGACACTGTCAGCCAACCCATCTCAATTGTCGATCCAAACCCACCACAACCCAAACCGAATCGCTCCCCATCGACTCACCAGTTATCACAGAGGATGGTCTCGCAGTCGGCCATGTCCACGTGCTCGGCGGCTGACCGGTGACCTCACTGGCCGGGGTGACCGGTGACCTGAGCGGCCGGGGGCGACGGCGACGGCGACGGTGCGTGGCGTCTGCCGTCGTCCGGCCGTCCAAATGGCCCCAGGGGCGGCCGGACCGGGCCACGACAGAAATAGACGCCCCCGGTGTCGGCCGCCGCGGGAAACGTGACCCTGCGGCCTTCCCAGGCGGCGGTCTTGCGGGCTCGGGTCAGGCGGCGGCGGCCGGCGGCCGATGCGGAAGACTGCTCCGTTTGGTGACAGGTGGTGGCCCGCAGAGCCGCGCACGATCACGCTGATGGCGTGAGGGGAACTTGCGTGCAGCGCGAGCAAAGACGCTGCTGGAAACATTGAGAAGGGACGAAAACATTTGCTCTCACAATCAGCCGTGGGCAAACTTTTTGCAAGCTTAGCTTTCAATGAGCGGGCGCAAATGAAGCTTGCTTCTAAAAAAATCGTCTAATTTTCTGTTAGCGCATGAGACTGGCGCTTGGGGCGACAGCCCCTCTACATTTGTGAAAGTTCAATCCTTGGGCAATGATCGCTGTTTGGAGAGACACGGGTACCAATGCCCTTAGGAACATAACACCGATCGAAGACCGTTGTCAATGTCACTTGCCACGAGATGGCTCTAGTATCGTTTCTTCTGCGCTGGGAATACAGTGGATGACACATTTGTTATGGCCGTATCCAATGCCGTTGAATGTTGACGGTCGCCTTCGCCGGAAGTCCCCGACCGTTGCTGACTAGTTGGACACAGCGAGCAAAAACACACGATGGCTCGGTGCCAGGCTGGCAATCTCACTAACAATCACCTGAACAAAGGCAAAAGCGTGAGGCCGACTTCGAAGGAACCTTTTTCCGGCACAAACAACCGGAGTCATCAGGGGCCGCTCAAAAGGCTGGCGACAGGGCAAGACGGGTACTTCGGTAAGCTTTTTTTGACATTTGACATTTGACAATTTATTGACATACAGCAATCCACACAAGTTAACGGATGGGAGCCATATGAGCATACGTTTTTCATCCATGCGCACTAGATTTTGGCAGGTCTCGACACTTTACAAAACGTGCCATAAGTATGCTTGCATCCCCTCTGCTTCCGCTGTTCTTTCTGTAAACCACAGAGGGAGGTCGCAATGCAGAAGCGAAAGAGGACAAAATGGTGTGAAAGGTTTGGTATGCGAGACAAAAATACCGCATTGCATCTTTTCATATTATCTTATGTAAAGCGGAACATCAGAATATATTCCCAAACTCATTGGTTCCCAACAAAGGTTGACATTTGTAGGTGTCTCTTTGCAGCAGCCTTGAGTCCCAACGCCTGACTGAGTCCCCTTCTCGTAAAAGAAGTCGATCAACGGAAAATTATCCAAAAAGGACTGCAAATAAGAGGCTCGGGGTCTCCAGAAACAGGCATTTTTGGGTTCCCTTTGCGCCCTCGTGGACTTTACCAAAATATGATCCTTGTCTTCTGCTCATACGAATGCCTTTTTTAGCAGATGTGAAAATTCAATGGGACAATGAATTCAAATTCAAAATTCAATGGAAAATTCAATTCAATTCAAAATCCCATGGGACCGCCCCCGCCAGCTGCCGCGGGCGGTCCCAGATCACGTGGGCGGGGACGGACTGAGGCTCAAGGTCACCTCAATCACCGGGAAAAAGCTAAGAAACACGTTGTGTCGGAAATGCTACGCAGCCTTAGATTTCGTGATTTTAAGATCCGATGTAGCATTCAAAACAACGGAGCAGATTAAATGAAGAGTTGCCTGTCGCTACAGCGAGGCATGGGCGGATCCTGGGGGGGGGGGGGGCGGCACGAGGCCATGGCCCCCCCAAAAAGCTCTGAGAGTATGCTCTGCCCCCCCCCAAAAACACTCCCAGAACTTTATAAAAGTTTCGTCTACTTACCGTCCGTTTTAACTTTGATGGTGCGGTATCAAGCATTTCTTTCCGTTTCGGAAAAAGAACTCATTAAGAAAAGTTGGCAGCGATTTGAATATCAAAACAAAACGCATGCTTGCGCCATGCACCACTGTACTCGCGAGAGGCATCATGCACCGGACCTTGGATCCCACACCAGCCAGCTGGCGATGAACGGTTGCCCCCCCCCCCCCAAAAAAAAATTGACTCCAGGCTAGATCCGCCCCTGCAGCGACTTACAACTTCCAGAAAAGACAGCTGTGCAGCATGGTTCATCTTGCATTCTGTCCAAGCCTCCAGGTCTTACCCTTCTTTCAAACATTGCCTTAAGTTCGCTATTGAAACCTGAAGTCATTGGGGTGCACGGGGGACCCAAACGTACACAAACACCTCTAAGAGAAGCTCTTGCATGTCCACGGAAGCCGGCGGACCATTTTGTGGCCACCTGACGGTCACAAATGAAGCAAAGCTGTGCAGGAAGAACACCGGTGGCGCTACCTATGCCTCCCTAGCGATCCCAGACTTCCCTGAACTATTCTTCGTACTGCAGATAGCGGACACTCATCAGACAGGCATTCACTGCCAGACATTGAATTTGGCGCATGCCAGTAAACACCGAGATTACTTTAAACATCTGCTTGCTTCAAAAAAAAATGTGGACGGGGCGTGGCAACTGCAAGCAGGATCCGTCAGGGGATTCAAAGACGCTCATCAGCTAACTGCACTTTGATCTTAAGCAGAAGACGGGAAGACTTGAAGCAGGGGCGAGGGAATGCTCTCGAGCAGGAATTTGAGGAGGGGCAAGCAAAGCTAAGATGACTTTTTCGATTTCTCCCTAGACTTAGACACTTCATATTCAAATCAGGTGGAAGGTTTATTTGTCATAGAAATAAGAAATGTTCACAACACCATCTATTTTGGTGCAAGACTCGGATATGCTAAGAGGTAGCCTCTCTATTTCCCTTTGTTTTAATAGCATTTCGCATTCATGGTATCATTATTATCGTTTACATATATATTGCATCATATCGCTTTTTCATTTACACCTGCGTACATTTAGCTATCATACTATAGCATCCGTATCGCCCACCCAATATCATCAGCCTTAGCGATCACAAAAAATAGCAGAGAAGAGCGATGCCGAAAATGCTCGAAATCTTGAAGCGGCTGCAGTTTCGTTACACCGAAGTTGGTCATGAGCTGACGGTCATGAAATACTTCCGTCCACGGTATGCCGCATCTGGAGCCAGCTTTTGCGACTACTCTGCGTTATTACTGCGGTGACTGCACCATTTTCGCTTCTCGCATTCAGATTCACTTCAAGCACACTGTTCATCAATGTAGTAGACCAGCTGGGTCCAAAAGGCAATACTTGACAATTTAAATGTTACGATAATGTTGATGGAGACTCACAAAGAAGCAAACTTTACGAAAATGAGGTTCGGTCTCAAACTGACAAAACAAGATAAACTTAGCGGAAAGGAAGTGAAATGAAGGCAAACAAAACATAGCTTAAATTTGTTGTAAATTTTGTGAAGGAACCCCAACTCACTTGGATTTCTAAGACTTCCGTGATAAAAAGCTGGACTTTGATGTAAATCCTTTAGATTAAAGCCCTGTCAAAAAAGAGGAAGGGTGCATTCAGTCTAAAAGCTATTCTGATCGCTGGCCGGAGGGCCAGCAAGACACCTCTCTCCCTGTTCCCGTGCCTTGATATGAGTGCGCCGTGAGGTGCATGTCAGGTATCAAATATAGACGTGAGAAAATGTGATTCATTTTAATGATTATTTATCACTGAGCATAACATGGATAGAAGCGACTGGTGATAAATGCATCACGCGTTAAATGCTTTACTTTCGATAGGCTCGAAAACCAGCAGGTAGTCCGCGAGCCCGTTAGGCACTTGCGAATCGTATATTGCTATTATTTCCGGCTCCTCCACACAGCCAGTTTTCTGCGGCCAGAACTGCACAGTTAAATTGAGTTACATGTTATGGTAATCCTCAAGCCTAATCCGTTGTTTACCCACGTGGTTGAGAACGGGCATCTTGTAACGGCTTGTTGGAGTCCCGCGGGAGCACAGGTGACTCGAAGAGCATTGTGTTTGTGTGTGTGGCGCATGCATCAATCCGGCCGAGCAAGGAAGACCGAGCGATGCGTCTTGCCATGCGCGGCGCAACATGCTCAGCTTCTGACCCGTCAAACATCTTAACGAAGGCGCTGGGTCAGGGGCGGAGCCAGGGGGGGGGAGAAGACAGGCACCATGTGAACTTGGATTTGAAAAGCCCCTTCAGGTTGACACTCAGTTTTCGCTTGTGATATTTTGTAAAACATAGAAATATATGCTTTAGGCTTCTCTGTCACAACATGGTTGCAACCGATTTTTCATTTGTATGCTCATCTGACAGATCGCAAAACGCTGATGGCGGATGTCGTTATAATAATTGTGCCACACCTAGCTCACTAGAGGCCGACGGCGGAAAACATGGTTGCGGTGGAACGCGCCCGAAGCTATGTGACTGTCACAGTATTCCAAGCCACCGACAAGCTGTGCTGCCGGCCGGCCGGTTCGCGCCATCGTGATAGCGCAAAACGGCGAGCGGTGCAACGCCCCGAGCGACGCGTCACAGCAATTTTTCGGGCGTCAGCAATTTGGAGAGGGGGGGGGGGGGGAAGGGCACACACAACAACTCATTAGAACGTCGATAGATTTTACGGCTGTCTCAAAACCCTTTGGTCGTGGCGGAGCCATGCATGACGTCATGCACATGCACATTAAGCCGTGCGGCTGTGTCGGGTTCTGTAGGTCAGGGTCCTGCGATTGCCTCGGAGACGTGTGATTGCTCCGGGGCCCTGTAGCTATCCTGGGGCCCTGTAGCCATCCCGGGGCCTAGTAGCCGTCCCGGGATCCTGTGGCAGTCCCGGGCCCTGTGACCGTCCGGGGCCCTGCCGCTGTTCCGGGCCCTGTCGCTGCCCCGGGGCCCTGTGACCGTCCGGGGCCCTGTGGCCGTCACGGGGCCCTGTGGCCGTCACGGGGCCCTGTAGCCGCCCCGGAGCCCTGTGGCCGTCACGGGGCCCAGTAGCCCCCCCCGGAGCCCTGTGGCCGCCTTGGTGTCCTGTGATTGCCCCTGGGGTTCGGCGCCAGTGGTGGGATC